TTTTGGCCACCTCTAATTGCCAGTGTTGCTCATGTCCAGCTTTTAAATGTGTAGCGTATATTTTTGTCTCTCTTTCTCACACTGTGCATCTGTCGGGCCCTATTTTTCATGATACAAGTCAAAGATGCGTATATTTTACCTTCAAACCTCACATTCATGTGGATTTACTGGACTCGTTTGGTTCGACTTAAAACTTATCACTAAGAAACTCAATTACCAAATTTATGTTTCTTAAAATAAAACTGAAAACAAAATTGCTTCAATTCTGGTTCCCCTTAAATGAACATTTCCTTATCATGGATTAAAAGTTTTATACATATCAACGTCAAAACATAAGGGAAAACACAGTCATATCATCATATATTTATGATCACCTGACCACTTTGATTTTTTTAGTATTAGTTGTTTAAAGCAGTAATAATGTTTTAAATAGTTATCATAATTAACTATGCAAACAATAAAACCACATGAATTTGTTGATATGTCCGTTCATATGAGTGTAAAACTTTGACATAAAGACAAGCACGAGAAAATTGAAGAAATCGTCTTGATATCAAGTATAATATAATTCGATACTCATGTTTTACTGTAAAAAGACATAGCTTTATGCTCGAAAAAGTATCGGCCCACAGATGTTCTTGTACGAAAAACAGGCCCGTTCCTGACCCTTTTAGGCCCTAAAGGGTCCTCGATAAACAAGTCCAACGCTGCTTTATTTGGAACCAACAACCGCTTCTCCCCATTTTTTATCTGTCCATCCCATCCACTTTTCTCGATTCCCTTTCTCCTCCATAACCATTCATCCTTTCCCTTTTTAATTTTTTACATCTATGTGGAACTTTGCTTTGTATATTTTTGTCTGACCTAATTTTACTCGACATTTTGGATGACACTGGACCAAAATATGATTTTAGGACATAAATGTTGATGACCCTTGTTTATAGTTACATCAAGTAGTATATGGGCATCATATGCTAAGAGTAACTAAAACATCATTTATGAACTTATCTTGAGTATAACCTCTTTATATTGAATCATAGTATATCTTAGGGGCCGTTTACCAAACACTTACCTGGTAAGCACTTACTGGTAAAATTTAACACTATCATTTACTTACCGGGTAAGATTTTTGTCCATCAAAACTGTATCGTATGCAACAATTTACTTGCTAAGCTCTTACCATGGTAAGAGTCGTCCCCCTTACTTACCGGGTAAGACTTTTGGTCTTTTTCTCGTTCTTACCGGGTAAAATTCTTGGTCCTTACAATATTCATCCGGTAAGGTAATGTGACTTGGTGGTCACTTGCCTGAATAAGTGTTCGGTAAACGACCCCTTAATGTAGATGTGGAGATTGTGTAAGGGTAAATGGACTATCTACACATGATGGGATTTAATATGTGAATAATATATTTTTTTTTATAAATGTGCATCTGTGGTGATTTTGGCCTCTAATCCTTGTGCACGAGTATTAGAGGAATCTTCGGAGTCAGTTATGTTATATTGACCTTTTTAATTTCTAGTAAGTAGGCACTAAAGGTCCATTGGGATTCTTGAGGTGGAACTTGACTATGAGAAATGAGTGGGCATTAAGGTTCAAGAGTTCTTGAGGTGGGATTCTTTGGAGTAGACACTAAAGGTAAATAAGGATTTGAACTGACACCATGAATGGTGGGTGCATTAAAACCATGAATCTGATGTGTAGGCCCAATAACATCATACGATGACAATACTTTTGTGTTTCCGCCACCTTGATAGAAATGGGTCTTCCTCGTCATTGAGAGATATCTCTTGCGTATAATCCCTAAGTTGGGATGACTTTTGAGGTGCATAGTATTGTACCACTATTGCGGATCAGGTAACACTTTGTTTTATTACTCTTATTTACATTGTGAGTTAATTTATGTGATTTCGTTAGGCGTAAAGGCTAACATTTGTTCTTGATTATATGATTTTTAGGGATCACTAGGGGCGGATCTAAGACCGCCTGAGAGTCTTGTTGGTGATACTGGAAGCATCAAGGGTAGAGACTCTTTGGGAAACACTTGAGCGGAAGTTGAATTTTTAGGGTGTTACAATTTACATAACATCGTCCATCTGTTCTACCGTCAAAAACATTTTATGATATGCCTTTAATATATAAACTGACATCATTTAGGGTCACAACGTTGACCATTCTAAGTAACACTTTATGTAAATTAATATAAATCAGTTGGGTTTTCATCTCACCACGTGTTAAAGTTTTTCAACATTGTTTTAAGCTTTTAGGGTTAAAACAAACTTTTTTGAAACTATAAACCTTAGAATCAAAAGGTGATGCCAGTTGAGATCTTAATATAAATCAATTGAGATCTTGTTATTGTTTTGGAGATAAAAAGAGTATCTGAAATTCATCCACTAAATATTAGGTAATAAGAAGTCAATAGTGAATGAAAAACAATGGTAGTTTGAAATCTTAAATACAGATATAAATTTGACCATCTATATAATCAGTAATTTTCTTTCAAAATGAAGGAGTTTTTCTAATTAATAACAAAAAAATCTACTATATTCTAATACAAAAATGAAATTCATTCCGACTTTTTTCGGACAATATTCAACAAAAGTTTTACATTGAATAAATAATGGATCATGATCCTAAAACAATCAGAGAGTTAGTAGAGATGAATGATGGAGAATAAATCAAGATTTTATAAACAAATAGTTTAAGATAAAAAAATCTAGAGAGACAATAAGCAATAGTATAAAATAAACAACCAATTAAGGGGCTGTTAAATTTCCTCATCGGATGAACATGAGAAGGGCCAAGAGTCTTACTGGGTAAGAGCGATGAGAAGAAATTGAGATTCTTACCCGGTAAGTGAGGATGTCGACTCTTACCCAGTAAATTGTTGCATTCGATATATTTTGATGTACTAAATTCTTACACATCAAAATAAATGATAGTGTCGATTCATATCAGTAAACGCTTACCGAGTAAGCATTTGGGTAACGACCCCTAACTTTTTAGTTTTTACATATTTTATTTTTCAATGTAATTAATTAATACATATTTGGGTTATTAATATAATACAAAATTATTTTTTGGTCCTATTAGATATAGTTTTTTTTTGTCTCTTTCATTTGCTAAATTTTTTGATTACTACTTTAGTCTATAGTATTATTTTCTAGAAGACTGGGCCCCTATTTCTTATGGACCCTGGACGTATGTCCGATCTGTCCTCTCATAAACAGTCCTGACAAAAAGACGTGTTTTCAAGTTTCGAGATAAAGTTAACCATTAAAATAAAATAATCAGATTCCAAAATAACCTCCAAGGTCCCGTTTGGTTTGAAGGAATGAAATGGATTTGAGGGTGCATTTCAAATCCATTTCAATCTCATGTTTGATTTGTTGGATTGTCCGGATTTGAAATCCTAAAATTTAAAACGAATCCTTCAAACATAGGGTTTTGAAATCTTTAGGGAGTGCTCGAGATTTCATGGGATTTCGTAGGATTGTATGCAATAAGGTTTTAAAAAATGTTAAAAACATTTGTTTTGTAATAATCGATTAATAAGAATGTAATTCGATTATTTTTATAATTGTTTATAATTTTTTCTATAAATTATTTGTAAATAATGAAATTTAATTCCATTTCAAATCCTACAAACCAAATACACCGATGATTTCAAATTTATTCCAATCAAAATTCCTTCAAATCTAAATCCCTCAATGAAATCTAAATTTCTCAAAAACAATCCGGCAAACCAAACGAATCCTAGGTGATGATCAACTAACCGTTCAAAATCCACAATATCTTAGTGCATTATCATATACACTTAGGACCGTTTATTAAATACTTACCCGATAAGTGTGGATCGGGTAACTTTCCTCATCTGATGCACATGGCAAGGACTGAAAATCCTACTCGGTAAGAGCGATGATAGGGATAAAGAGTCTTACCAATAAGTGATGGTGATGACTCTCATCCGCGTAAGCGTTTACCGGGTAAATTGTTGCACACGATATCGTTTTAATGTACTACAATCTTATCTGGTAAAATAGATTATAAGGTTGACTCCTACCTGTAAGCTCTTACCGGGTAAGTATATTTGGGTAAACGACCCCTTAATATTGACAAAAACCTTTCTTTTTTGTAACGACATGCAAATACCAATCTAAATTCAAACATGATTTAATCAATATGACAGGAGTCGATTATATTTAATCTGGTTCCAAATTCTATATTTTTCAAATTTTGCTTATCAGTCTAGTTGCAAATTGAATCCAAACTATTTAGAAGTCGTTTACCGACTCAAGTTGGGTGAGCATCAACTGAGAAATCGCTAACTAGAGGGTAAAATGATCATTTATGACAAACTGTTTATTCAACATAACAACCAAACAACAATTTCTTTTATATCATATAGAAAACTTTATCAATACTACATCTCGATCAACGACATTTTTTGATCTGTCTGCATTATTTTATACTGGCCAACAACACTTACCCGATATGAAATGAAAATAACATCCTTATATTTTTATATCTTTTTTTGTACTTAATTTACGGACGTTCGATTGGAGTTTCAAATACAAACTATACAAATGTTAAAAACCCTACAAACAAATCTCAACCGTCTGTATAAATAATCAACGATGTATATTAAATTTGGTTTCTAAATTTACTTTCAATAACGTCTGTAATTAGGGGGTGTTTGGGATTGCTTATTTAAAACAACTTATGATTTTCTATAAAAAAACACTTGTCAACTTATGATAAGTTTTGAAAACTTTTTATTATCAGTTTGACACCGGTATAAGATGTTTATTCAAACACACAAAAGTATTTATTATTTATGTCACATCGAAATAAATCAATAAATTGTTTTTATAAGTAGTTCCAAACACCCTAATTATTCAAATTTCAAAATATACAAAATTTTGATTTGTTGGGTTTGTATTTAATTTTGGATTTTTGGATTTTTGGATTTAGCGTCCGTTAAAAACATACGATCAACGTTGCCGTCGGGATTTGAGAACGATGAGGGGCCACGTAACGGAAGTCAGTAGTATCTGAGGCGACTTGAACATCAATGGCGGACCAAACCTCCTCCGTCGCCATCACCCCCACCACCTCCTCCGATAACACACCACCGCTTGCCACCTCCTCACGTCCACCGCTGCTCATCCCACAGCTCCCGGACGACGTTGCAGTGCAATGCATCGCTAGAGTTCCACGGTCTTATCACCTCTCCCTCTCGCTAGTCTCCAAGTTATGGCGATACACCATACGCTCCCCACATTTCTTCGCCACCCGATCCCTCCTCCACTCCACCCAACAATCCCTCTATCTCAACATCCGCCATAACTCTTCTTTCAAGTGGTATCATCACCCAAACCCTAACCCTACTGATAAAGGCCCCCTTTCTCCTCTACCTCCTATCCCAATTCAACCAGTCGGTCCAGCATATGCCGTACTCGGCCCCAAAATATACCTAATTGGCGGTTCGATCAACGATATTCCTTCGGCTTCCGTTTGGATTCTCGATTGTAGGGTTAATAAATGGGAAATTGGCCCTAAAATGAGGGTTGGGAGAGAGTTTGCAGCTGCAGAGACGGTTAATGGCAAGATTTATGTTATGGGTGGGTGTTTAGTGGATAATAGGACTCGGTCAGTTAATTGGGCGGAGATATTTGATCCTGCGGTGGGGGCATGGTGCCCCCTACCAAGCAGTTCGGTGGATGCAAAGGACAAGTGGATGCATGCTAATGCTGTCATCGACGGTAAGATTTATGCTATGGCAGATCGTGGCGGGGTAGTTTATGATGTGGCGGAGATGGAATGGGGGAGAGTTCCGAAGAGGCTTGATTTGGGATGGAGGGGACGAGCTGCGGTGATTGATGGGGTTTTGTATTGTTATGATTATTTGGGGAAAATTAGAGGGTATGATGTGGAGAAAGATGCTTGGAAGGAGTTAAGAGGGGTGGAGAAAGGGTTGCCCAAGTTCTTATGTGGTGCAACAATGGTGGATTTGGATGGGAGGTTGTGTGTGGTGTGGGAATGCAAGGAGGGTGGTGGTGGTGGTGGCGGCGGGAAAACCATGGATATTATGTGTGCAGAGATCGAGGTTCGTAAGGATAAAGATGGAGGATTAAGTGGTTCCATCTTGTGGGTTGATGCCATTCTTTCAGTTCCTGTTGGCTCTTCCATTCTACATTGTATGGCTGTTGCTTTGTAACTTCCAATATGTTGCCATGGTATGCTCTCTCTTTCTCTATAGTTTATGCAATATACTAGAGTCACAACTGCTTATTGTTAGATTGACATTATTTGTAACATTCCGTATTGCATGGATGGAAAATTAGATTTGTGAGCTCCATATAAAATCAAAGTTGTGGCTACCAATACCTTCCACCATTGTTTTAAGTTAATTTTGGGGTTATATGGCTATGGCGAGTTACAAATGGTAAAAGAGCCAAACTTGTACTATTGGAATGGTGGGGTAAACCTTATGAAGCATGATTGAGTTCTCGAGGGAGGGTGTTTGTAACATCTTGTGCCACATTGTCCATGAACAAGGAGGATGTTGGGAAGGACAGTACGTCATCAGGAAATTTAAGTGGGGGAGTTTGCAACAACCTGTCCCGCATAGGTGGAAAACTAGATTTGTGAGCTTCTAATAAGCTCAAACATACGGGCTACCAATAACTTCCACTATGGTATTAAGTTGATTTGGAGGTTATTTGGTCAACGAGTTGCCTTGGGCTTGGGGAATTACATTGTTCTTGATGGATCCAAAGTGCTGATAATAGAGTGAAAATCAGAAAAAGAAATCTTGTAATCCTTATGAGTTATGACATACATTGAAGGGTGTTGGTTGGAGACCCATATTAAATATTGTTAAGATGAAAAAGTGCATGATCTTAATATTTTTTTTCAATGAATTTATGATTATTTCTTTTGATCTTTCTTCTGATACAAATAAAACAAATGTATTACGAAGCTTTATAATTTTCTTCTTACTATGTTGATTAGGCATTTGAAGTGACAATCATGAACAAATTATACGCGGGCTATAAATGCATTTCATATTAAGAAAATATTCATGTCAGAGAGTGATATTATTATAAGAAATGGGGATTAGATACATTGTAGCTGCTTCATGTTCTATTTTATGATCATATTACAATGTTAACTTTATATCAGTCCAGTAGTAAATACCATCATTGATTTGTCTTGAATTGGATGTTTCACCGATAACTAAATCATAATTGGTTGCCACTTTGCCGGAACTTGGAAATTAATTTCATCGAAATGAAGGTTTTATAAAAAAGGAGCACGTGTTTCTAACTGAATTTGGACAAAGGTGGCTTAGAGCATCTCCAACAGATTCTTCAAAATGGAGAAAATGAAGATTTTGGACAAACTTGTTGCACCAATAGATTCTCCAAAATGAAGAAAGTGGAAGAAAGAGTGAAATTCACCGAATTTGGAGAATTCTCCGAAAATGATTACCATGAGGGAGAGAGAAATCATTTTTATCATATTCCCACAAATAATAAACCTTGATGTTAAATTATTAGGAGAGAGAAATAATATTTTAGTAAATGTACGAAATATTTTAAATATACTTAATATTGTAATCTTCAAAGTAGAGAATCTGTTGGAGTTGAATGTAATTTTTTTGGGAAGATTTAGAATTTTGATTCTCCATTTTGGAGAATCTGTTGGAGATGCTCTTAATAAACTTGAGATATATATTGATGGATTGGCGAGGAGGATGTATAATGCACAGCTTATTTGTCCCACCGAAATAGGTGGAACAAAAATCAAGAGATATTGGATAATATAGGTAAATTACTAAATTACCCATGTCAAATTAAAATCTTCCACAATTCTTTCACCGCTCTCTCACTCCTGCCAATCCAATCCCTTCCAGTCTTGCCCGCCTACCAAACACACCCTAAGGCCCAGTTTGGGTTGTAGGATTGGAATGGATTTGGAGGGGTTTGAAATTGAATTCCAATCCAATCCCATGTTTGGTTTGAAGGATTTCATTGACATCCCACAAACATAGGATTTTGAATCCCACGGGGGTAGATGATATTTCATGGGATTTCGTAGGATTTCTATATAATAGTGTTCTAAAATATTTTTAAAACATTTGTTTTGTAATAATCAATTAATAAAAAGGTAATTTAGTAACTTCTATAATTTGTTTTTATATTTTTTGTATAAATAATGGAATTCAATTCCATTTCAAATCCTACAAACCAAACGCATCAAAGATTTCAAATCCTTCCAAATCCAAATCATTCCATATAATCCAAATCCCTCAAAACCAATCCATCAAATCAAATGCCGCAAGAGAATGCAAATCCAAAAGGCCCCCATGGCATGCTTAGAATCATCTTCTATATTTGACTTATCTTTGCAGAGATTAAGTTCAAAATGTATATAGGGCTGAGATAGATATCAGTGGTAGCCATCTCCAGCGAAAAGGCTAGATGTTTGTGGTCGGATGTTAGTTGTCAGCAGATTGATTTCTCATGACTGTTTGTGATGACATGATATCTAAATGCTACCTGTAATAGTTGAAGCATTATCTCAATCATTCGATTCTGCTGCTTGTTTTCTAGAATCGAGCCATTACCTAGCAAATTAGCTGTTCAAAATTTTAAGCTTTATACATAACTATTAGAGAAAAGAGAGGAGCTTGGGTAAGTAGTAGAGTGGGATGGAAATTGAAGCAAGAACAATTACTCTATGGGAATTGGGAACTCAGGAAACTGGTGCCTTTTGGGTGTGTCGGTATGTAGACAGGGATGGTCATGATGAGGCATGGAAGGGTGAGGTAGGTGGGTGAAATAATTGTGGAAGGTTTTAGGGTTTTAATTTGACATGGGTAGCTTAGTAATATACCTATTTTGTCCCATCTCTCATATTTTTGTTCCACCTACTTTGGTCATGTCCTCTCCCAGTCTCATTTTGCGCCAAATATGTGAACAATTTTTTGTTCCGTCCTTCTTGAGGAGGAGTCTGGGATGAGGGGAGTTGGGGTGTCTCAAGTCTTCTCTGGAAGATATATATTGTATTCCAATCAGAGCCACTACAGAGCTGTGTTAGGAAACTGTAGAGTAATGAAATCACTGATCAGAGGAAATGAAACACAAATTAAAATCCTTATTCAAAGTGAAAATAACAAGGTTGTGTTGGATAATGAAATCACTTGTCAAACGAAATGAAAAATAAATCGAACTTCATATCAATAACGATCATCAACCATCGACACAATATATATACATACTTGATGAGTGTTAGGAGAGTCGTATTTGTTCACGTCTCTGCAAACATTTTATCTTTTAGCTTCATCTTGTTTCTTGAACCAACTTGTAGCCTGTTTAAGTATTTATTTTATTTGCAATAAGAGATTGGTTTTGGCTTTTATAATCTCACGTACAAGACAAAATGATCGTGCCAATGCTTATGAACGATCACATTAAGTGAGACTGTTAGTATAATTCTTAGAATGCCGAAGCTCATTTTATGACTAATGGATTCATGTCCTATCCTATTAAAAAAGTTCAATCTTTTTCGTCCCAACTTGGTGAATATAACTTTCTGGATCAACTTGTACACACCTCGCTCCCATTCACGTAAGGATCACTTGTTCACATAGCATCTATTGGCCTGTTCTATGCAAGTGTGATAACTGTGGGTGTCCGGGTCAACTTGCACGCACCTTGACTCCCATGGGTCCTTGAAGATCACAATCAGAAAAATCCTCAGACCTGTGGGGAGGAGTTTTTATTTGTCAGTTGAGCTGATCTTCTTTTGCCCTTGAATCTGCAAATGCTCTTCTTGCAGGATCTCAAACTGTTGTGCTTGGAGATCAAGCGTTTCGGATATGCCATCCTCAAGCACATGAATCTACAGGTAATTTATGGTGGAATCAGTATCGTTGATTGTTAAAAAACGTGTTTGTATCGTACATCTTGTGTATCATTTTCATCAAATAAAAAGCTTTTTGTGGGCATGCTGCAAAAGCTCTTGTATTCTGGTCGGCTTGTATGTATATATTTGTGTTAAACTTATGCAAGTGTAATGAATACTCATTCTTCCTTTTTGCTACTCTTGTTGGCTTCATCCAGTTTCATTGTTGATTTCTAGTTCTACCTAGAGATGAGGGTCGGCTTACGGATGGAGGACGGATACGAGATCGATCGGGCATAACCTGATAAGAAATTACTTAAGCTGACTAGTTATGCACCGGGCCTTGACCCGACCCGAGAGGCAATATGAAAACATTTTAAATTTTAGCGTATTTCAAATAAGAAGACAAAATAGTGCAAGAAAGTAAGAATAGAATATTCATATATGAATTCATTAAAAAGAATTTGAAAAAAATCTATTTTGAAGATGCATATTATTCATTTGATTAACGTATGCATCTTTTAAATATATTTTTCAAAGTGATTCACATATAAATATTTTCTTCTTACTTTTCACAATGTTTTAGGGGTTGTTTACCTAAACACTTACCGGGAAGCGCTTACTGGTAAAATTTATCACTATCACTTACCTTACTTAACAAGACTTTAGTCCATCAAAACGACATTGTATGTGAAAATCTACCTTGTAAGTGCTAACAGGATAAGGGTCGTCACCTTTACTTACCGGGTAACACTCTCGGTCCTTCTTGTCACTTTTAATAGTAAGATTCTTGGTCTTTGTCATAGTCATTCGGTAAGGTAATGTGATTTGGTAAATACTTATCCGGTTAAGCATTTATCATGTTACATTACTTTACCGGATGAAAGACATAGTGTTGATACCTAACATAGTGAACCAGATACCTACTACATGCCATTAACTTTTATTCATCTCTCTTTTGATCAACTAAAAAAATTATTGAAATAAAACTTCACATTCTCTTCATAATGATAGTCATTTATAAGAACTATATTTTTTTCACGAAACTACCATTAGAGATGCTCTTATAACTCCGTCAAGTGTGCTGCTACCATATTTCCATGACTCCGTTTGTCACTACACGTGTAAATATCAGCCATTGTGGACTTAATATATAAACTTGAAAATAATATTTGGCATGAGATGTTTGTATATCATATATCTGTGAAATCTTGTTGTGCATATGGTGGCTACAATTAAGACGCTAAAAGTAATCTCTAGTATTTATCGATCTGTGAACTTTCAGATGTTATGTTTTCGAGTATCGATGGAATTTTAGTTTTCAATGGTACAATTGCAGGTATTTATCGACCATATCATATTGCAATCATGTAATCTCACTTAGATCTTTTGTATGTATCGTCTCAATTAAATGTATATTTGATTGTTTAAAAATAATTAAAGCTAATTATTATATGAATTTACATTAAATAAATCTCATCTTTCGGGTATGTGGTTTTGTTTACAAATCTAACTATTAATACAAAGCAATTTTAACCGTTTATAAAGTTTTAAATGTTGTAAGATGTGACAAGGTGACGATAACGTTATAAAGAGTTATTTAGAATAGTCTAATGAATATATCTCAATTGTTTATTAATATAAAGTGTTGATCATAATAAGACAGTGTTTGACAAAAATAAACTAGCTTATTTTTTGGGCACATGTTTGATGCACATAAGCTAGCTTATTGAAACACTATTTGAATTAGCATTTTGGTAGTTTATGGTCATTTTTCCAATTATAACTCTCACTAATATTAATTAGTATTTATACATATTAATGAAATATAAATATTACTAATGTTAATAAATATTAAATTATTAACTAAAACAAACTGAAATT